GCAGCAGCACGGGGCACGCTCTCTAGGATCAGCCGGGTTGTGCTGGGCCGTGAACCAGTCTCCACAGACTCACACACACACGTCAGACAAAGCAACTGCTCCAACCACAGCAAAGGAAGGTAGGAACTGGAAAATGTACAGATGTGCGGGAACTAAACAAGCCTCTCTTAGACAGACAGGGGATTGAAGGAGAAATCCCGAGGGGAATGAGAAATCCTCAGTGACAGACGAAAATGAAGACACGCATAGGAAAACTCTGGGATGCTGTGAAGAGGGTACTTCATAGCTGTAAAAAGGTCTCAGATGAACAGCCTAATTTCTTTTATCCTCACCTGGGGCTATTTTTTATTATTGACATTTTGAGAGAGAGAGGAAGGGAGAGAGAAAAACAATATGAGAGAGAAACATCAATCAGCTGCCTCCCATCCATGCTCCCACCAGGGATTGAACCCGCAACCTTTTCATTTACAGGACAAGCTTCCGACCAACTGGGCCACCTGTCCAGAGCCAAACAACCTAACTTTTAAGGAACTACAAAAAAAAAATTAAACCCAAATCTAGCAGAAGGAAGGAACCAATAAAAATTAGAGATAAGCAGAGACTAGAGAAAATCAGTAAAGCCTAAAACTGGTTCTTCAAAAAGATTAACAAAGTTGACTCACCTTTGGCTAGACTGACAATTAAAACAAGGAGAGAGACTCAATTACTAAACTCAGAAATGAGAGTGGGGACATAACTTCCAATTCTATAAAAGTAGAAAAGGATTAGAAGGAAGTGCTATGAACAACTGTACAAGAACCAACTGGAGCACCTGGAGGAAATGGGCGAATTGCTAACACACCGGCCGGGATGGATCTTCACCTCTGCCCGCGCAGCGGTGCCAGGTGGTGGCTCCTCCCACTTTAACCACCGAAGCATCCGCCTTGCATCCTCGACACAGTTTCCTGCGTGCCACCTCCCTTCCTCGTGCCACGGCCCTGTTTGTGAGACCAGAGTCACCAAGGCCGTCATTTCCACTGCGGCAGGGGCTCTACCGGTGGGCATGACGGTGTCCTCCTGCGTTCTCCTCAGTCACCACCCAGGGTGTCCTGAGCTCATGGTCACTGCTTCCAGTTAGCACCCAAGCAAACTCCTCTGCATAGCTTTTCCTCTTCAGATAATTTTCTTGGGGTAAATTTCCAAGGACAAGGTCCAACACAAGGCCTATACCATTCAAGGGGGCTGAGACGGTGCACACCCCCACACCAGCGCTTAAGGGCCAAACAGCACTGACGTTTTACGGAGGCTTGTTCATGCAATGGGTATAAAGTGGGCACCCACTGAAGTCACACCATGCACACGTGTGTTCACACGCAGAGCCCCAGGCCCTGGCAGGGCAGAGAGTGTGACCTTGAGGTGGTGGTTTCTTGGGTAGCCCCCAGCTCAGGCCCCTCCTGCACACAGCCCAGGTGCCCAGCCCAGGTGCCCAGCCCAGGTGCCCAGCCCCTCCCGGGTTCCCCTGCGGCCTGGGTCACAGCAGCACGGGTCAGGGACTGGAGATCTCAAGCATTTTCAGCTGTGACAATAAATACTTTTCCATCATCATTGGCCTTTTTTAAAAAATTGTGGTGAAATACACCGAACGTGAAGTCTACCACCTTCACCATTCTGAAGCATGCAGGTCAGCTGCACAAAGGGCGTTCTCACTGGTGTGCGGCCACCACTCCATGCGGCCCCAGGCAAACTGATGCTCCCTCCCCAGCACTGGGTCCCTCATGCACCATCTGTGTCCGAGACCCTGACCACTCCGGGTGCCACAAGTTCACAGGGTCACGCGGTATCTGTCTTGCTGTGACCGCTGCGCTTATTGGCTTATTCCGCTTATTGGCTTATTCTGTGCTTGTCTGGCTTATTCCGCTGCGCACAACGTCCCCCAGGTCCTCCCATGGTGCAGCAGGGGGCGGAATGTCCTGCCTCTTTAAGACAGAATTACTCCGTTGTGCGTACAGCCCACATTTCGTGGATCCACCGACAGACACTTGGATTGCTTTCCTGGTGGCTTTTAAAAACCGCCCCTGGACACCCAGACGTGGGACGCTGACAGGCGGTAAACTGACGCGGAACCAGGACACTGTCCTGCTGTGGACACAGCTCCAAAATGCAACGTGAGTGGAAGGTGCCCGAGACACACACGTGCTGCTCGCTCGTGGAACAGAAACAGAAAAGAGGGAAGATACAGGCAGCACTTGTTTGTCCTTGTCTACAGAAGCTCTGGAAAGACCGGAAGTCATAAAGGCGGGGACTGAGGGGAGGGGAGGGGCGAGCCGGTGGGGCCTCCATCTCCACCTGCTGCCTCCTGCTGCATCCCATACACCAGGGCCTCCTGCCCTCAGTCCCCAGCACAGAAACCCCCACCCCAACCCCTGTCTCTGTCCCATGCAGGCTGGAGCCCCTGCTCGGAAGGAGGAGGCCAGCTCAAGCCCCTGGTAGCCCTGGCATCGGGGTGGGCCTCCCTACCCCCCACCCCCACACCGCCCAGCACACCTAAGGGAGAGGGGAGAGTCGTGGCGGGGCACTGCCAGGCTCTGGTCTCACCCACCCTCTCTTGAGGCTACATCCAACACAGGGAGCTGGCCCCGCTCTCCCCTCCCCTGCGCCCACCTGCAGAGCACAGGCCTCTGGATGTGCCTCCAGCTCCGGTGCCAGGTGGTGGGCCTCTCTACACACCTCACCTGCTTGTTGCCTGCCTTCACCGCCAGCTCCCAGGGTCCTACTGGGTCCCCAGGGCCTGAACGGTGCCAGCAGTCATTCAACACCTGCACACACATGGGAGTGAATGTCCCTCAGCAACAGTGAAGGAAGCCAGAGGCTGCGACTGGGAGACCAGCTTGTCCTTGGAGACTCAGGCCTGGGCCCAGCCAGGGACACAGTGGCTAGCTGGACATCAAAGGGACCTACTGCAACCTGTCCACTCTCTGGGCATCCCTGCACATCAGGAGGGTCTGGTCCCTCCACCCCGGCCCCCATCTCAAGCTCATTGTTCCAGGGCACAGCTGGGTCTGTGCCCCCAACCCCATGTGCCCAGCACCTCACACCCAGCCCCACTGCCAGGCTGGACCAGAGGTGCTCAAGGAGCTCCCCAGCTCGTCCCTGAGGGGGTGGCGTCTGGCCGTCACAGAAAGTCCCCTCCCACACCTCTGCAGACCACCTTGCCCTGCAGAGAAGTTTCCAGAATCACCTCCACCCCTGCCACTGGCTTGCCCTTGAGAACACTGGCCCAACGCCACAGGGAGAAGCTTCCGGGTGTCCACCTGACAGGCTGAGTGTGTTCTGTCTTGTGGAAGTGGACTCAGACACGTGCCCTCCCCAGAGCTGACCATCACCCCTGGATGCCCACCCACCGAGATGGACAGGGGGTGGCTTTATGAAATTTTACAGTTTCAGCGGCTGAAACGGAATACTTAGTGCTTTGCCAGGGAAGTGCAGATAAAGCGGGGGCTGTCCCAGGGCCAGCAGGGCCCGGGCTGCTGTCCACTCTGGTTCCCATGCCCTCCAAGCCCTCTTTGGGCTCCCTCTGACCCCCAACGTCCGCTCCCACTCTCCGTGTCCCTCTGTCTCAGGGCCAGGCCACCCAGGGGCAGGGAAAGTCAGAAACGGACCTGGGACAGGGTCTGCCATGGGGACAGCAGGGCAAGGCCAGCTGGGCGACGGGGACGCGGACCTCCGGAAGGCCCCTGTGGTGAGCCTGCAGGATTCCACGGTTAAGAGTGTGGGGGCGACTCGCCCTGGCCGGGGTGGCTCAGTTGGAGTATCATCCCACACACCAGAAGGTTGCAGGTTCGATCTCCAGTCTGGGTGCACACAGGAAGCAACCAATGGAAGGTGCTCTCTCACGTCGATGTTTCTCTCTCCCTGCCTCTGTCTCTAAAAGCAAAGAGAAAAAACGTTCTCAGGTGAGGGGGGGTGAAGAATGGGGGTGACTTAATTGCCCAGCGTAGGTGACAGTTAAGCAGCCCCAGGCTGGGCCAGGGCCTGTGGCTGTGCAGGCGGGGGCAGGCCCCACTCAGGAGGCCCCCAGTGGTTGGTGGTGGAGCCCAGGGAGGAAGCCCAGGCCACTGCACACTTGGGGAGGACGCCGGCTGTGGGCCAGGCCCAGGTTAGGGTAGGGCCAGGTCGAGGACTTGCCCTAGCCCCCACCTGGTGCAGGTTTGGTGAGAAGTTGCCGGGTGACAACCGCAGGGGGCCTTCTCCACAGCAGGCACCACCAGCACTCAACATGGTGACAGGGAGGAGCTGCTGGCTCCCACTAGAGGTCAGGCCCACTCTGGGAGGGAGGGGCGGGCACTGCTACAGGGAAGCCCAGAAAGTCCAGTGGGGAGGAGGCGTGTCAGCTGGGTCCAGTGGATAAAGGAGCAAAGGTGGTGGGACTGCCTCCTGTAGGAGGGAACAGCCGGACGGTCACTGGGGCCTAATTGGAAAGAACCTGGAGCACCAGGCTGCACTGGAGACCCAGCTTCAAGGGGCCCACGCAGCAGCGGGGTGGGGGGGTGGGGGCACAGAGCAGCTCAGGCACACAGAGCCCCAGGCCCACCCACTGACCTAGGAAAGGGGCTCTTTCCTAGCCCTATATGGGGACAGGGTGGTGCCAGCAGGGACACTGCACCAGCGCAGGGACCCTGGGTGAAAGAGCCTCCAAGCGCTACAGAAGTTCTGGGGTTGCACCTGAGGCCCCAGTGTGTGGGTCAGGCCCATCCCTCATCCCACCTGTGGCCAGGTGGGGCCTGACACAGAGCCCCGAACGGGGGTGGGAGTGGACTCATGAAAGAGCAGGCCCGGCATGGCTTGGCTGAGAGTGGGGAGAGCTGGTTCTGGGGGGGGGTGCTGTACTGTGGGCTGGGGGTCCCTGGCAGCGCTCCCGGGAGGTGATCACTGGGAGGCCAGGGCAGGGCCCACCCAGCCGGGGGCCCAGGGGGCCGGCAGGCCCCAGCTTAGGTGTGCCCACCTTCTCCTCACCCCTGCAGGCAGGCATGCCCTGGACGCTGAGTGCCTCCGACATGGTCACCCCAGGCAGCCCCGGCCCACCCCCCACCGAGCCCACAGACAGCAAGCAGGCCGAGCAGCCCCTCCTGGATGGGGCTCCATCGTCAGCCTCCCTGGACACCCTGATCCAGCACCTGGTGCCCACGGCCGACTACTACCCTGAGGTGGGTGGCCCACGCAGTGCAGGGAAGGGGCTCTCCTCCGCGGGCGTGGGGGAGGAACAGGTGGGGGTGGCCTCGAGGGCGGGGCGGAGATGGGAAGAAGCGCACGCCCTCCACACCCCAGCGCACACACACCACTTTTCTCCGGTATCCCCAGAAAGCCTACATTTTCACCTTCCTGCTGAGCTCCCGCCTGTTCATCGAGCCCCAGGAGCTCCTGGCTCGAGTCTGCCGCCTGTGCATTGAGCAGCAGCAACTGGACAAGCCGGTGCTGGACAAGGTGAGGGCCGGGCAGAGTAGAGGCCTCTGCGTGTGCCGGCACTGCCCTGACACACCCTCACGCGGCCAGCCCTCAGAGAGGTAGTGGCTGTCCCCGCTGTCCTGCGGAGAAATCCAGTGGAGTTTTCCGACTTGTCTGAGGCCCAGAGCCAAGGCAGACTTGGGGCCTCTCAATTGGGGGCTGTTCTCTGGTGCGCATGGGGGCCCTGGAGCTCACACCAAGGCCAGACCCGGCCCCCCAGAGCCCCATCCTGGGACCCCTGCCACCTGAGATGGCCCTGAGCACCGGATGGGCTTCCTGCCCCTGGCACAGTCCTCTCCAGCCTTCCCTTCCCATGGCCCCCGGGCCGGGGCCGGCTCATGCGGGCTGTGACTACGTACACCTGTGTCAGCGGGGCTTTGCTGTTGGTGGTGAAGCCCAATTACAACTGGCCTAAGGGAAAGGGACCCTCTCGGCTTCTGGAACTGCAAAGTCTCGAGTACCACTGGCTCCAGGGGGTGAAAGGACCTCGACACAACACCGTCTGTCCCTCTCCCACACTCTCCCGGGGCGGGGAGCTGCACTCCGCTCCCCACCCCGGGACCAGCCTCACTCTGCAGGGGCAGGTCCACCTGCACGAGGACCTGCAACCCTGCAGCACCGGGGTCACCACCTACACTTCTCAATCCCGCTTCTCAATCCCGTGTGGCCCGGTCTCTGCGGCTTCGCCTAAGCCACGTGACCATCTGTCAGCCAGTCACCGAGATGGTGGGCACGTGCCATGCTCTGATTGGCCAGCACTGATGGGGGGGGGGGCCCACTCCCGCAGCCCTGGGGCGGGGTCTGCTGCCCAGAACCCCACCTACTGGGAGTGGGGATTGGGGAGACTCCGAGGGCTAGCGAGATCTGCTGCCACAAAAGCGGGTGGGATTCCTGGCAAAAACAGGAAATGACTCCACCCCCAAAGTACGCGTGCCCCCTGCGGTCAGCCCCCATCCTGTGTCACCTGCCATTGACGCCCACCCTGGGCAGCCACTGTCCGGGAAGCGCAGACAGGCGGGGAGTGGCTGGGGCAGTGGCCGCCGTGGCCCCAGCAACCCTCAGCATGCGTGGGTGCCCTCGGCCTTGCCTTGCAGACCCGGGTCCGGAAGTTTGGCCCCAAACTACTCCAGTTGCTGGCCGAGTGGACAGAAACCTTCCCACGGGACTTCCAGGAGGAGTCAACCATCGGGCACATGAAGGATGTGGTGGGCCGCATCGCCCCCTGTGATGAGGTAGGTGAGCCAGGAATGCGTCACCCCACCCACGCCCTCAGCCCCTACTCTGAGCCTGCTCCCAGGCTGTCCTCAGGGCCCTGGTCTCCCAGCTGCTCACTCACCAGAACCTCAGCCCAACTGGCCCCATCAGGCAATGCAGGGCTGGCGGAGAAAGCAGGCCTTGCTCCCGGCCTGCCTCTTGTCCGCTGGCCTGCCCTGCTATCCTCACTGCCAGTGGGTGCCAGGTGAGGGCAGGCCTGCTCCTGGACTCCCGCAGTGGTGTGATCAGGCCCGCCTGGCAGGTACCTCCCGGGCCTGGGGCACAGAGGCCTCCCTCCTACCCATGCAGCAGGCAGGACTGACCAGCAGCCAGTGCTCCTGAGAGGCCTGCAGCCAGGGCAGGGAGAGAGCGCCACGGGGCAAACCCAGCTGACAACACTGGTGCAAACAACAGCCGTGGGCAGCTCCCTGGGGCCCTGCAGTAAGTTGTGGTCCAGGGCAGGCAGGAGAGAAGGCCCCTGCGGCTCGGATCACACGGAGAGGAGACTGCTGTTGCACTCTGGTGTCTGGGGAGGCAGCCTGGGAACTGCCTGCACCCCACACCCTGCCCTCGCAGCTGCCTTACTGCGGGGGAGGCGATTGAGGGTCTCCAAGCCTCACTTTTCATATGGGCAACAAGAGGACAGAAACCCCCCAGAACTATGGTGAGACTGCAAAGAAGGGGGTGAAGCCTCTGAGCACCTCTAGAAGAGAGGCCAGCGTATCAGCCTCTGAAGAATTGCAGTGTGGACATCGCTCCGATGGGAGGGAGAGGAGGTCAGGACTCGAGCAAATCAGTGCACTGGGAGGAGACCCCGTGGCAACCTGGCAGCGAGGGATGGGCCCTGGAGTGGGTCTGCCCCTGGCAGAGGCAACCACATGGGACACAAGGGAAAACTGCAAGGGCCGCCCAGGCCACGGGCAGCCACGAAGCCCAGGCCTACCTGGGGCTCAGAGAGGGAGGCTGTGCCCTGGGGTCACTTCACACAGCAGACAAGTGACTTTGCTGTTGTAGGCACCTGATGACAAGTGAGGGTCATCTCCTTCTCCCCTGGTCCATCTGGGAGTCACGGTGCTGGGTTAGGAGCAGCCGGGAACAGGGCCAAGGGTCGCTTGATGACTGGATGAGTCTAGGGGGCTGTGGGGGGCAGGAAGGAGAGGTGCTGGATGGCTGCTCTGAGGGATGGGTGGAGGGGAAGAGATGTCTGAGTAGTTGGATAGGCAGGTGGACCTGTGGGGTGGGTGGATGTGGAAGGAATGATGGGCAGCTGGGAGGGCGGGGTTGGGTGGCCAGAGGGAGGGATGGTGTGTGGATGGGTGGAGGGGCTGGTGGGTGGGAAGGAGAGCTGGCCGATGCCAGGATGGAGGAAGGATGAGTGAGGGAGGTGGTGGGTCTGTGGTGGCGACTGTCAAAGGAGCAGCAGACAAAAGTGGACGGGGAGAAGGGGTGGGTGCAGGGAGGGCGGGCGCATGGGCGGATGGAGCAAAGGCTACAGAAGGGGGTGAGAGCTCCGTCTCCTGCTCCTCCCCCCGCCCCCCGGAGGCCTTCAGCAGTGGTGAGGTTGGAGCCACTGACAGGACAGGACTGTCGGCCCTCGGCTGGGCTGCCTCTTCCGTGGACGCAGCCATTCAGAAGTGGGGCTGTGGCTCCAGCCGTGGTGGCAGGGACGGGCGTGAGTCCTGTGCCAGTCTCCTCGGGAAGCCAAGCCCCTCACTGGCCCCCAGAGAAGCTGTCAGCTGTGCTGGGGAATCTTTCCAACCACCCAGTGGCAAGAATCAGATGCACCTGAGACCTGTGCTGGGAGCAGCCATCCCCCAGGTGTGGGGTCTGGGAGCAGAAATAACTCATTCGGGACATTTTTGAAAAATGATTGTGTTTATCTTTAGAGAGAAGGGAAGGTGGAGAGAAAGGGAGGGAGAGAAACATTGATCAGTTGCCTCTCCTCCGCACCCCATCCGGGACCAAGCTTGCAACCCAGGCAGGTGCCCTCCCAGGGGATCAGACCCCCAACCTTTTGCTCTGTGGACAATGCCCAACCCACTGAGCTTCTCGGGTCAGGGCTCAGTCGGGACATCATTCAACTCCTCCCTTGCTGAGTGGTATGAACTGGAACCAGGGTGCCCCAGCGCCCCCCTCACACCACCCAGGCCAGGGGCCCCCCAAGTGTCTTAATGATCCCCAGGTTGTGCATCCTCAGGAAACCCCCACTCCAAGGGGGAGACCCACTAGGGCCCGGCCCCCCTCCCTGGCTGCTGCAGGTGGACTTCAGGGGCGCCCCTCCCAGCATGGGCAGGGGCTCGTCTCAGAAGAAAGCAGGGGAGCTCTGCTCCTTCCTGGGTGAGGAGAAGCCCGTGGGACCACCTGAGCGGAGACACAGGCCGGGCAGCACAGCTCTGGGGTCGCGGGCCAGGCGCCTGCCCTCTCTGAGCGTCATCCGTGAAACGCAGACGATCACTGTTCCCCACACACAGCTGTGAGGCAAAGCCCCCGAAGTTGCTTGTGCTCTTACTTCAGCTCTCGGTAAAGTCGAGCTCTGATGGGGAACAAATTCTTTCCAAAAGTCAGGCGTATGGGGGTTATTTTTAACCTCATGGAGCTTTTCGAACAGACACAGAGAACAGCAGCCCTGAACTCCTGAGCACCCAGCCCCGGCGTCGGCAGCTACCGACCCACCCACCTCGTTCCCGGTCCCCTCACACACGTCCCCTGACAAGTTATTTTTAAACGTAGACATGTTTTTGCTTCAAAATTGTTGCAGCGTCATCCTGTAAACAGGTTCACACGCAGGGGCGAATCACGTGACATGAAGCGCCACGCAGCCGGCAGCGAGGCGAGTGCAGGTGCTTCTGGGGCTGTGCGTCTTTGGGCAGGTGGCTTAACTTCTCTGAGCCTTGAACGTATTCTGTGAGAGGGAGGGTAACAGTCCCACATGCGCAGGGCTGTGAGGGAGCTGCACACATGGGGCCAAGGGCCTGTGGGGCTTCCTTATCAGAGCAGCGAAAAAGAGCGACACCTTTCTCGTGTCCCCGCTCCTTCCCTGGAGCCTGTCTTCACTGTGCTCCCACCGCCTCTCAGCAGCTGGGAAGGCCATTCTTCACGGCCACAGAGGCCTTCCCAGCACCTGGCCCTTGCATCGAGGCACTGCTATGGGCCACCCTGTGCTGGCAGGGGACCGAGGAGTGTGTGGCAGCCAGCCCTGAATGTTTTGGCTCAGGGATGCAGTGCCAAGACTGAAGGAGGCCGGCCTGGCGCTGGGAACTAGGGGTGCTGCCGGGACAAGGAACTCCTCACCATTCCCTGGTGGGCCTCCGCGTGGGCCCAGATGTGCCCGGGGCTGTACTGGCCTCCGTCCACAGGCTGTAGAAATTAGCGAGAAAATGAGAGGAGATCAAGGTGAAGGGCAATCTGTCCTCACATTCAGAAGGGGAGCCAGACTTGAAGATTTAGGAAAGAAGCAACCACTAAGCTTGAGGTCGGCACCACTGGGGGGACTCTCAGCGAGTCAGGACGCAGGAAACAAGGGTCACTGGGAACGAGTGTCGGTTCCAGAGAAACAAGTCCTGCTAGGTGACCTGCGTCTCCATGAGCAGGTGAGCATGCAGTCTGGTCCGAGCAGAGGCCCAGGCCTGCTGCGTCCTTGGCTCCAGGAGGATCCGTGGTCGACCCTGGAGAGGCCGGCCGGCTGGGAGCAGGCGAAGGCCGTGTCCACCCATCAGCAACCACATGCAGGCGCCTCTGCCAGCCAGGCCCTGCCCTTCGTGCTGGGGCTGAGCAGCGCAGCTGGCGTGCTGTGCTGGGGACGGTGATGAGAGAGGCAGGGGGAAGACATGGGTGAGCAGGGCATGGCGGGGGCTGTGGAGAAGGGACACGCTTGTCCTTGGGCCAGAGGACGAGAAGGATGTGCCAAGGGGAGAAGGCTGTGCCCCCTGGAGGCACGGGGGCGGGGTCAGAGGGATGGAGCCACGGCCTGTGTCCCGAGCACAGGCAAGGGGAGGCCACCGAGCAGGGCCCCCGCTGACCTTGGGGCCTCCAAGCCAGGCAGGGTTTCGTCTTTGTGGAAGTGTGGAGACGTCCTACGGAAGGAGGCGCAGGGGTCAGATGTGCGCTTTGAGCAGACTGCCGGCAGCACAGTGGAGGGGAGAGAGGCTGGCATTGACACGCCCCCCCGAGGAAGCCGCTGCAGCCATCAGGGACATGATCACAGCCGGGATCCAGAGGCCGTGGAGGAGGACGAAGTGTGGACAGGGAGGGAAGCAAAATCAAGAGGGTTGGTGACAGCCTGGTGACAGGGTGGGGAGGGCCCTGCAGGACAGCTGCAGGCCCATGTGCCTGGCCGGGACTCTATTCCTCAAGACAGAGGTGAAAATGGCATGACTTCCGCTCGCACATGCCGGACTGAGGTGGCCCCTGGGCTGCGAGGCTCTGGTGACCAGAAGAGAAGCCGCACATGTAAATCCACAAAGACTGAATGGCACCCCAGACATGAACCAGCTCCCAGGAGTGATGTCCAGAACAAGGGAAGAGAGGACCGGGGGAGACAGGAGGGACCCCCGCATCCTGGCATGGTGCGGGCAGACAGGCCAACGGACACCCCGATGTGGGGACACCGGGCCGAGGCGACGTGCCCAACACGGACACAGCCTGAGAAGTGCTGCGGGTCAGCCCGCTGGTCAGCAGCTGTGGCGCCAGTGGGGGGAGTGGACTGGAAGGCCGGTGTAGCCCCCCGGAGACAGCTGGGTGGGTGGAGGAGAGAGACCGCCATGGAGGCGCCAGGGCTCACCGGCGAGCGACGGTGCCGCCCCAGGCGGGCTGCGGCCGGCCCCAGCTCACCGTCCTCCCGCCTCTCTGATGAAGGTCTGGGTGTATGGACCACACTTTCGGATGCAGCAGAGCTGAGAGGGGCTGTGCCTTCTACAGGTGATGGAGAGTCAGACCTCAGTTCACCCACTCGCTGCCCAGACCAGGGGGTGCCTTCTGGGTCTGTGCCCCACGGCTCTGGGAGTTGGGGTTCAGGTCCAGAGTTGACGGCCCCCTGTCCAGTGCCCTCTGTCCAGGGGTCCCTTCACCTGAGGCCACTTCACCCGGAGGCGCTTCCTGCAGAGGCTGGCAGACGCCATCTTCGTCACTGGAGCTCTGGGCACTGACAGTGCTGGGCCTCAGTGGCCCTCTGAGCCCTGTCAGAGACTTGAGGAGCTGTCCAGGTGCCCTGCACATGCGGCCCTCAAGCCAGATTCCCCGCCTGCCAAAACAGCAGGCCAACGCGCACCTGATCTGAACTTACCTGGCAGTGCCCACAGTTCACCTCCCAGACCTCGGGGGCCCATGTGTGCCACTTGCCACCTCGGTGCTGCCTGGGGCCACCACTCCCCACCAGCCCCTTGGCTTGTGGATGATTGGGTCCACCTGGGGGGCAGGAGGTGGGTACTGTTTGTTGGCAAGCTCAGGGGCTCTTTGTGGGTTGCTGACCACACCCTTGGGAACACGTGAGCACCTTGCTTAGTGAACCTGGCCAGTCTGACGGCACCTTCCCTGGACGTGGAGGGGTCTCTGAGAGGGAAATTATCAGTTTCCCCTTGGGCGGGAGGGTGGGGCCATGGCCTTTGGTCCCTGCACCCAGCCCAGCGTGGCCAAAAGAGGAGCCCACCTGCCGAGCTGCTTGGTGAGGGACTGCATGGGCTCAGGCAGCCCCCTCTGCCAGGAGCCAGTGTGGCTTGAAGGCTGAGCTGAGCAAGAGGCCAGCTGCCCGGGGCAGGGCCGCTCCACACCTCCCTGCTCCCCTCCCTCCTCTTCCTGGCACTGCCCCATCACCCAGACAGTTGGGGCGACTTTGGACCCCCAACACCCACCCCAATGTCTGCTCTCTCCACAGTTCCCACCAGCCGCCCTGCACCCTTCTCTCCTGTTGGCCTTGACTGTGGCCCTGATCCCAACCTGCCCTGGATCGGGTTCTGGGGGGGTGGGGGGGTGGGGGCAGGTGGAGGCACATCCCTGCCAGCCTGGGGCCTGCTGGTCTCTGATGGCAGGGGCAGACCCGGCTGCTCAGGCTGGCGCCCTCTCCCCACCGCGCAGGCCTACAGAAGGCGGCTGCACCAGCTGCTTCAGGCCCTGCACCAGAAGCTGGCAACCTTGGGCCCGGCGCCGGAGAGCCTGCTGGGCGGCGACAAGCCTGTCTCCTACAGGACCAAGCCACCAGCCTCCATCCACAGGGAGCTCCTCAGCGTCTGCAGTGACCCCTACGTGCTGGCCCAGCAACTGACCCACGTGGAGCTGGTGAGCAGGCCCACGCCACCCTCAGCCCGACCCAGAGCCGGGCACAGCCAAGCTCCCCATCTGGCCCCCGGGGCCAGCCAGGCACCCCCAGAGCTCCCTGGCTTCAAAACAGTCTCTCACCAACCCTGGCGCCAGCACAGGAAGGCCGGACAGCCCTGCCCAGCTTTGACCTCTGGCTGGCCTGGGAGTCCAGGCTGGCACAGTGGCACTGGGTTCAAATCCTGCCTCTGACACTACTGCTGTGTGACCTTCCCACAACTAGTGCCTTCTCTGCCTGGGCCTCGGTTTCCCGGCCCAGAACCCACACAGACATACTTTGCCGACCCCTGCTTTCCAGAGAAGCCCAGACAGTCCTCCCTGCTTTTGTAAAGGGGGTGCCTCAGCCGGCCCCCCAGCAGGCTGGGTTCCAGGAGACACAGAGGCCAAGGGCCCCTCCCTCCCTGGGAGGGAGCATGGAGTAGGTGGCTTTCCTGTTAATCCTCCAGCACTTGTGAGTCCCCTGCTGTTTTCCAGGCACTGTACTCAATGCTTGCATGTGCTGTCTCACGTCTTCTTCCCGTTGCTTGCCAGGCACATGCTGTTGTTACTCCCTTTACACAAATGAGGAGACTGAGGCCCAGAGAGGTTAAGGACATGTCAGAAGTCACACAGCAGAAGGCACAGAACCAGGATTCAACTCTGACCCGACTCTGAACCACCAGGCCACGCCTGGGGGGTGTGGGCCACCAATCACCCAGTTTCCAACTTGGTTTTCTGGGGTACCACCTCCCACAAGCACTCCCTGCGAGCTGGCAGCCCCTGGGCACAGGATGGGAGGCCTGCCTTGCTCAGAGATAGCGCTGAGCCCTGTGACGCCCAGAGCAGGGCTGTAGAGCTACAGGGAGAAGGGCGAGTGCCTGGGACCCTCCTGGGGTGGGCAGGGAGGCAGGGAGCCCGAAGGAGCACAGTGCCAGGCCCCCCAGAGGGCACACATCTCCCCATAACTTCTCCCAACTCCTCTTCTCCCTCCTCGGGCAGGCACGGCTGCGACACATCGGGCCTGAGGAGTTTGTCCAGGCTTTTGTGAACAAGGACCCTCTGGCCAGCACAAAGGTAGAAGGCCCTTGGACAGCTGGGACCCACTAGCACCTCTGGTAGATCCACTGGCATCAGCTGGGCCAGCTTCCCAGGGACCCAGGGCAGGCAACAGGCTTGGATGCTCTACCCCTGCCCCAGCATAGTGGGGGGACTCAAGACAACGACAGCCCTGAGTCCCCCCAGAAGCCTTAGAGGGTGGGGTGTGCCCAGCCGGGTCACCCACCCCGCGAAGGCGGTGGAGCCGGTTAGCGGAGGTCCTGGGTGGGGAGGAGGGTGGAGGGTGGAGTGTGCCCTCCACCCGCTGCTGCTGGAGTACCGTGCTTGCCCGTGGGGTGCATTGCGGTGGACACGGGTGCCCTCTAGTGGTTACTCGGGGAAGCGCAGCTGGTGCTCACTGCTCAGGGAAGGTCAAGGCGCTGTCTTCTTTCTGAGGCTGGAGTGGCCTCTGGGCCAAGCGCTCCCCACACGGTCCGCACACCGATTTCAGAGCACGCCCCTACCCTCTCAGAGCCCAGCCAGTAGGGTGCCTGGTGCTGATCAATGAGGTCAAATGCGAACCAAAACTGGAAATATTGTGTCTTCTGCCCTGCACCTAATAAAAAAAAAAGTGCAAAGTGAATATGAGATGGCATTTTTCCCTCTCAGATTAGAAAAGGTTAGAAAAGGTTAAACATTGTATCTGTGTAGGGAAGCGACACCTGCACAGCTGTAGGCGGAATCTGGCACAGCCACTTTGGAGGGCAGTGTGGCGACAGCATCAACATCCTGGACCCCAAGTTTCCACACCCAATACTTCATGCTACATGTATGCACACCCGTGCACACAAAGACGTACACACAAGAAACTGGGATAAAGTGTTCGTTATGCCGTAGGGCTGGGAGCAAACTACCTTATTATTCATAGGGACTGGACTAAAAAGTTTAATACATCCATCCATAGAATGTTATGCAACTTTTATAAAAGCAACTATAAGTATGGAACAATCACCAATATGCATTGTCAGTGACAAAGAGCATGTGGCTGTGACAACAACAGAAGGGAAGGTGCGTGACACACAGCTGCTGACTCCGCAGGGAGCCCAGAAAACCGTTCCTGTGGGGCGCTTAGTAAAGCGCCTGAGCACAGGGGGAACCAGCTTGGCCCTTGGGGACCCCACAACACCCCGAGAACTGCTGCTGTAGGGTGCACCGTGTAACTGTGTGTGTGTATAGTCATACAGTGCTGGCGCAAAGGACACCTCTCTTTTTATTACAAACTCTTATTACAAAATCATAAGTGTGCAATTCTATAACATAACATCCCAAGCACACCGTATGACACTTTAGGTGCAATGTTCAAATGGAAACTATACATTATCACACCCATGCTTGTCACCCTACCAACCACACTCAGGCAGGCGTCACTTCTGCCGGGCCCTCTTTGGGAATAGAAAGACAGCTGATTCTCACCACTCATAGCATTTCTGTCCCAGAAACCCGCTGGGGGCACAGGGTCAGCAAGTGCCCTTGCCCCAAAGGGCAGGCCAACAATTGTCATCGGCCAGTCACCAGACAGCCTCGCTCTCTCGTGTTTCTGTGTCAAGGCACCTTAATTAATAACCCTTGTCACTCAGTGACATCACCCTCGTTGTCAACAGCACCGGGACTCCCGTCTAGGTGAAGCTTGCTCACTCGTGTGCTTCCTTAGAGCACACCACACTCTTCCTGGGCGCTGCACGGGTACCCCCAGTCCCCAAGGCAGTGAGACCACCACACCTCGTGTGTGGCCGAGAGGACGCTTGTTTTCAGTGTCGGCACTGAAGTAGGAAGGCAGGGTGTCCTTGACCCTGCTGTCGGCATGGGTTGGGCGGCTCAGACTTGGTGCCAGTCTGCACAGAGCTCACGTGGCCGCGAGTGACAGTGGACGTGAGACGAGTGTTATCTGGGGGTTACAGATAAATATTTAAGGAGTAGACAGACTCACGAACACAGAATCTGTGGATGATGAGGGTGGACAATTACATATCATATTAATATGTCCTATTAAGTTACATCTCTGAGTGCATAGAAGAAAGACGAGGAGATATCCATCAAATCATTTGTGTTGGCGGATGGTTTTGAGGTGTCAGCATTTCCCAAGTTGCCTACGAGGATCATGAGCTGACTTCAGGTCCCAGAAATCCGTGACAAAGCAGCTGACCCTCACCCTCCGCCTCCCCTAGCCCTGCTTCAGCGATAAGACCGAGAACCTGGAGGCGTATGTGAAGTGGTTCAACAGACTCTGCTACCTTGTGGCCACCGAGATCTGCATGGTGCGTGGGGACCTGGTACAAGCTGGCGCGGCCCTCGGCCAGGGCTGGGGGGGCCAGAAGGGCTTCTGGAGCCCGTCCATCCCCAAGTCCAGGGCCAGGCCGGGCACCCCTCCGAGACGCCAGGTGTCACTGCCTGCAGTGACATTTCCCCTCTGGGCAGAGCCTGGCACAGGTCTACCAGCCTCTGACAGAGGGTTTCGGAGACCCCTCCCTGAAGGAACTCAGGGCCTCTCTGCTCCCCCGTCTGTGCCCATCCGTCTGCCACCTGGGCCGCAGCCCCCGCTGCTGAGCTCACTCAGGATCTGGAGGTGGAAACGACCTGACCTGTGAGAACTGGGAGATTGCACCTTCAAAGCTCAGGTCTCTGGCTCCTAGGAAGGAGAAAGCCCCGGCCGGTCTGAACCGGCCATGCATGTCATATCACCCACCCCTCCATCCAGCCCTACACGCCCTCTCTGTCCCACACAGCAGAGGGACCCTCCTCCGAGCCCGGTTCTCACCATCAGGAGAAGCCCGGGGGTCGCTTTTCCCAGGAAAAGATGGGACGCAGCACCCGTGCCAGGCTGGGCTCTCTGGAATCGGGTGCTGCAACAGAGCCTGGGGTGCAGGGCGTTTGTGGGGCGAACACCTGTCACGGAGGATGGGGCAGGGGCAGGACTGGCTGGAGGAGAAGTCGCCCTGAGTTGCCTCTGCCTGTGGCAGTTTCCTGTCCCTGGGCCCACATCAGACCAACAGCACTGTCCCTGTGCTGCCCTCCCAGGAACGAAGAACGAAGAACCGGGCAAAGGCCGAGGCCCTCGGAAGGGGTTGGCATGTCTGGGAGGCGGGCCGCTGCTGCTCCTGTCAGTGTGGGAAGAGCACAGCGTGGGGCCTGGGGTTCCCGAGCTGGCCCAGCAGGGCTGCCTGAGTGAAGCCCGGCCCGCAGCCCTGCCTGTGGACGGCCAGCCCCTTGCAGGGAGGAGAGGCGAGGAGCATGCTCCCTGCTTCTGGAAGGGGCACTGGAGCTGAGCCTGGGGGAACAGGGGCCTCCTGTGGCCCCCCTCAGCCCCTCCCCGTGCTGGCTCACCCAGGGTGTGTTTGAGACCCTGCACCCTCAGGCTGCAGGCGGGCCAGATCACACATCTCAGCCATTAGGAGGGACTGGCTGGGGGAGCAGGGAGCGTCCTCAGGGTCGGAAGGGGACCCATCATCTCTGAGGTTCAGGTGCTCTGTCCCCAGCCATCCAAGAAGAAGCGGAGAGCCCAGGTGATCGAATTCCTCATCGACGTGGCCCGAGAGTGCTTCAACATCGGCAACTTCAACTCTCTCATGGCCATCGTCTGTGAGTGGTGGGCTCCCGGGAGGTGAGCGGGGTGTGAGCCAGGGTGCTCCTCTGTGCGGAGAGTGAATGCCAGAGGTCCAGGGAAGGTGTCCATGTTGGGGCAAGCGCAGCCCCCTCAGGGTACTTGGAGAGGGTTTGGCAGCACGTCCCCAGATTCGGGGAGAACGGGCCCAGAGCAGGACCCGGACACCAAATGGGGCCAGTGTGCTGGGGCCTGGGACAGGGGCCTGCACACACAGAAGCCAGGCCACCCCACCAGTGTCTCCCTGCTCTCTGATGGCTGAGGCCGCTGCAGACCTCAGTCCCAGGGGCCGGGCCAGCTGGAGCCTGCAGAGGCCTCCTGCAGGGGCAGTGCCTGGGCTGTGAGGCCCTCCTAGCACGGCCCTCTCTCTTCTAGCCGGCATGAACATGAGCCCCGTCTCCAGGCTGAAGAAGACCTGGGCCAGAGTGAAGACAGCCAAGTTTTTCATCCTGGAGGTGAGTAAGGCAGCCAAGCAGCCTGGGGACGTTGGCCGCCCTCAGACACAGCCACCCAGCCACCCCTGTCTCCTTCCAGCACCAGATGGATCCCACGGGGAATTTCTGCAACTACCGGACGGCCCTGCGCGGAGCCGCCCATCGCTCCCTGACCGCTCACAGCAGCCGGGAGAAGGTAGGTCGGAGGCTTGCCTGCTCTTCCGGCTTCTCCCCACCCGGGTCCCTTTGATCCCTGAGCTCCGCTGCTTGGAGTCCCTTCTGTTTCAGATCAGAATGCGGTGCCAAGTCCGTAGGGTCTCACACCGCCCTACTCTAACCGCAGTACCTTCCTAGATGTGGCCTCAGGTCCCAGCGGTGCTTCTGGCGTAACTGGCCTGAGCTCCCTGCTGAAATGACCTCTCCACAGATCCCTTCAGTTGCTCCAAAGTCTCCCATGGCATCCGATGCAAGAAGCCACCCACAGGCCTTGGGACTGCAGCGAGCCTCTGGGTTAAAGCGTGTCACCAGCCGGTGACAAGCCTTGCTTGTCGCCACACACTGCACATGCTAGCGCCAGCAGGGTCTGCAGCCTGGCCCGCTGTGGGAGGTCTGGTGGTCCCAGGTCCCTGCAGGGTTTGTGGAGGTCTGCTTCCAGCCCCGGGGGTCATAGGACAAGCTGTTCTGGAACTGCCTGGGGCGGACACCAGTGACCAGGTTTGGGGCGCTGGCCCTTCCTGCTCAAGCTGTGTGCACTCACCAGTGCGGACCCAGGAGAGCTGAGCAGTGGGGGCAGCACTCAGTGAGGGGGCTCCAACCCCAGGACGGGCAGTCCGGGCACCACCCCCCAGCCAGGAAGCCTGGAAACGGGCAGCAGGAGCAGGGACCTCGCTTCACGGAGCTCGGACTGCAGGAGAGCCCCGGGCCTCCAGCTCCATTAACTCTGACAACTGTTCTGTGGGGTGGATCTCGGCGTCACCACTTCCCTGAGAGAGCGAGGTCAACACAGTAAGTAAGCGGCAGGACCAGGTGCCAGACTGTGACCCTTGCAGCTCCAAGTTGTGTGGTCTTTGTGCAGCACAGGTGCTTCCTGCTTCCGGGGCACAGGCGCCAGGAGGCAGCCGCAGGGGCCCACAGTGCAGCCTGGTGTCCGAGGTGTCGGCCGTGACTCTGCGCTCCGCATTGCTTCTCTTCTGTCTGCACCGAGGCCAGCGGCCTTGGAGCGGATGCACTGGGACCTCCCGTTCCAGCTCTGGGTGGGGCGCGGGGACTCTGCGCGTCCAGGTCTGGCGGTAGAGGCAGCTGACTCAGTGGAACGTTCAGTTTCACTGCAGTCACCTCTAACCCCTGGAGAGGGACAGACTGTGGGTGGGGCCCACAGAGGGCGCTTCCCAGACGATGGAAGGCTGGAGCGTGGATGGAAGGAAAGACAGAGGTATCGATAGAAGGAATGATGCAGAGAAGGAAGGTGGGAAAGTAGGTTGGTTGCAAGCTTCGGAAAGCCAGGGTGGTGGAGTCACAGTGCAGCCCAGGCAGGGAGACCATCTGGGATGTTGGAACCGGGTAGGGTGGGCCTGGGCCCATGTGGACAGGCGGGAGTGGTGAGAAGCGCTGTGGACAGCGCTGCCACCCTGAGGACCAGCCCCGGGGCCTCCAGGAAGCCTGTACCAAGCCCCTGGGGAGCCCTTGGTGTCCTCGGAGTCCCTCTGCCCTTAATCCCTACCCTGTCCCAGCATTTCTGCCCACCTGGGCCCAGCTCAGCCATCATGCACCAACACGGGCCTGGGACTCAGCATCTGGGGGGGGGTGAGGGGTAGGCTCCGCACCTGCTCGAACCACAGTGCGAGGGCCTAGTGCCTGGTGGGGGAGCTCGAGAGCTAGGGTCCTGGGGCTGAGCACGCAGCTGGGTGGCTTAGAGAAGGGTGTCCTCTCTCAGTACTCGAGGCCATGGTCAAGGTGGGCAGGCCCACACTCCCTCAAGAGGCTCTCAGGGAGGAGCTGAGAGCTCCTTGCTTCTTCCGGCTTCTGGTGGCTCAGGAGTCCCCTAGCCAGTGGCCACATTGCTGCCACCTCTGCCTCCATCCCCACATGGCCGTCTTTCCTGTGTGTGACCAAATCCCCCTCTCTTTACAAGGACATTAGTTCCTCGACTGGACCCAGCATCTCCAGCATGACCTCATCTTAACTGTCTCCAAATACGGTCCCACTGATGGGCTCCAGGGCTTGGGACGTCAACCCACCCATTGGGTTGGGGGGACAGTTTACCCCACAACAGCGGGGTGCAGCCAGCTGGTTCCCCAGGGTGGTCTGATCTGTGAGCAGTGGTCTCAGACCCCGCAGGGTGGGCAGAGCAGGGAGGGAGAGGCAGCACGGGGAAAGCCTGGGCTCCACCGCTGGCCTGATCTTCGGGAGGCAGCAAGTGCACTTGGCCGCATCACAGTGCAGCAGGCTCAGGTCTTCTGCACCAGAAAAGACGTAAAATGATAAATTGTTAAATGTAGATTAAAGAGGAGGCCACAATGTCACAGCAGGTGCCCCCATGGCACCTGAACTTCATGTGTGCACTGTCCCTCCCAGAGGGCGCTGGAGGGAGTGTCGGGACTGTGCACCTTACAGAGCAGAACGGCAACTGCGGTGGGGGCTCAGCCGCACCAGGGCTGCAGGGGCGAGGAAGCGGGCTGGGCCCTGTGAGCGGGGGAAGGCCTTCACCCATGTGGCATCCGCGTTGCCGTTGCCCCCACGGGACACACTACGCAGCTGGGACCCCGCACCGGCCGGCGGGCAAGCTGTGCCCAGGAAGCCTCCCTCGCCTCTGCGTCCTGAGGACGCTCCTGATGCCCCTGGGCCGGTGCAGCTGACCCGGGCTGACCTGCGCCCTGTCCCCTCCAGATCGTCATCCCCTTCTTCAGTCTGCTCATCAAGGACATCTACTTCCTGAACGAGGGCTGCGCCAACCGCCTCCCCAACGGGCACATCAACTTCGAGGTAGGGCCGCGGCCCCCAGGGCAGGGGCAGGCTGACCACGGGCGAACAGGGACTGGGAGCGGTGGGGGGGCCCCCCGAAGCTGCGCACTCCTGGGGTCTCTGCACCAGCACAAGTGTAGCGGAGAGACACACGTGCCCTGGACGGGCACCAGTCTGACAGCGGGCAGGTGCCGTGCCGCTGCCCGGGGGCACAGTGCGTGGTCGGGGGCAGGGGGTCCCAAGGAGAGGCCGGAGCAGCAGGAGGAAGCAGTGGGTGAAGGGCGGAGTGTGCACTTGGGAAAATGATGTCTCCCTGAGCCACACTCACCTCTGTCAGCAGGGTCCTCTCCTCCCTGAAGCCCCCTCCCTACCCCGCAGGCAGAAGGAGGCCCTCGCAGGAGAGGCTGGGCATCCCTGGGTCCCAGGCTCCAGTCCCCAGCCCCTCAGAAGCCAGGCAGCTGTGCTGCTGAGTCTCCCCTCCCGGCTCTTGGACCCAGCCGGCACTCGGGGTGCGTGGGACCCAGGCGGTGGGTGACCGAAGTCATGGGGACAGAACTCACCCTGCAGCAGGGCTGCCCCACCCGCAGGCCCCCCCAGCCCCCAGCTCCCGCAGCAGTAGGTCCCAGTCGCCCCTGTGAGGCCAGGGCCGGCCCCACTCTCCCAGGCGACCTGGAGGCCCTGGGCGTGGAGCACGACAGTCTCGCCTCTGTGACCCGAGCAGAAGTTTCTGGAGCTGGCCAAGCAGGTTGGGGAGTTCATCACATGGAAACAAGTGGAGTGTCCCTTCGAGCAAGACCCCAGCATCACGCACTACCTGTACACTGCCCCCGTCTTCAGTGAGGACGGTAAGATGGCCCCCGCCCCACGACCCCTAGACGATGGGACTCTTGTGTGGCCTCTCGGTCACACCGTCAGTTAGGGCCCCTGCTCTGAGCACAGCGACCCGCGCCCACGTTGCTGGCTCTGGGAGGGAGTGAGAAGGCTGCCTCCCCCTGGCTGGGTGCTGGCCACCCGCAGAGCACTGGCCCGGGGCCAGGGGCTGCAGACTGGACGTCCCGGGCCCAGGCTTCTCCCTGGAGACAGTTTGGGGGCTGTGGGGCACGGCAAGCCTGGAGCACCTTGTGTCTGACCCACTTATGACCAGAAAAGTGGGGGTGACGGTAAGAACTGCCTTCCCAGGGCCCATGTGAAGATGTCATTCCACAGCTGGGGTGTGTGTGTGTGTGTGTGTGTGTGTGTGATACACACCAGCACCAGACGAGGCATCTCTTCTCCAGAGTGCTGTAAATGTCCTTCCTGGTCACTTGTCAGATACAACAGATTTGCTGGTGAGTTTGCTCAGTGAGGGGACTCCAGGAGCTCCCTGTTCCAGGAAGAGAAAATGCTGACGAACCACGTGGGCATCTGGGCCTGAGCCGCCCCTCCCAGTGGGCGGGGCAACCCCACGGTGAGATCCAGGCCCCGGATCCAGGGCCTGTGAACCCCCCCAGGAACCTCCTGCTCATCACTTGTGCACCAGAGAAAACGTTCTGTCAAAAACAAAAAATCAGAGAGAAGGAAGTTTTAGTGACTTTGCTTTTTAACTGTTAATACTTTCAACTTTGGCATTTTATTTTTTTACATTTTGGAGACCCTTCACCCAACAAAAAGCTCAATAGCCTGGTGGGTGGACCAGCCTGGGCTGCTCCCGCCCCAGTAAGCTCTGTGACCCCAGGCAGGTCCCCCACCTTCTCTGCGCCTCCTCTGTGGCATCTACGAAGTGTGGGCCTGTGAGAACATCCTTCCCGGGGCCACTGTGAGGTTTTCTTGAGTTGGCACAGCAAAGCCCACAGGACTGCGACCCACTGACACTGATTATAGCAGTTTCCTGTTGGTGCGGAAACAAATCCCCACAAAGCTGGTGGCCCAAATCTACCCAGGTTAATCCACGTGCAGTTCTGGAAGTCAGAAGTCCAAAATCAGTTCTGCTGGGCTACAATCAAGGTGTCAACAGTGCCGGCTATTTCTGGAGGCTCTGGCTGGAGAGTTGCTTTCTGGCCGCCTGCTGCCTCTAGTGGCACCCGTGTCCCTGGGCTCAGGGCCCCTCCTCCCCCTGCAGAGCACATCACATGGCCAAGTCTCCCTCTGTCTCCTTCTCGAAGGATGTGATGGCGGTTAGGGCCCACCTGGATAATCTAGGATTATCTTTCCATCTCCAGATTCTTTTATTTATTTATATTTTTTTAAAGAGAGAGCTCGAATTTGTTGTGCCACTTATCTGTGCATTCATTAGTTGATTCTTCTGTGCGCCCTGATGGCAGATCGAACCTACAACCTTAGTGTATTGAGCCGACACTCTAACCACCTGAACCACAAGGCCATGGCCAGATTCTTACCTTAATCACACCTGTGAAGTCCCTTTTTGCCATAGGAAGTGACGTATTTACAGGTTCTGGGGATCAGCACCTGGGAATCTCTGGGGGTCCTTATTCCACCTACAACACTGGGGATTGTCGCGGTTGTCATCATCAGCCCGCAGACACCGGGCAATCAGCGTGTCAAAGGCACATTCAGAGAGGAGCAGAAGGGGTCTCAGGATGGAGGAGAGTTGGGGGGATCATGTCATTCACTCCTGGAGACAGCAGTGTTTCTAGAGAGGCTGCTATGTGCCAGGTAGTGACTTAGCTGTGAACACACAAATGAGATCCTGGGCCTCCTAAAGCTCCCTTACGAAAGGAGCACCTCCCATTTGACCCTCTCTTCTCCTGTCCCTCCCATACCACAAAAGTGAAGAAAAGCAAGAGAAGGGGACTCAGTTGTACTGAGCCCCAATTAGGCCGGTCAAAGTCCCGGAGAAAAGTCCTGCCTGCCTTCGGCTCCTAGCCTTCCCTGGCTGGGCCTGCCTAGCAATCCAGTCAGCCCTGAGGCTCTCTGACGCAAATGAAAACACAGAAAATCTCAGCAAGGAAACAGAAAATATAAGAGCCAAAAGGAAACTTGAGGACCAAGAGATACAGTAACTGCAATAAAAACCTGGGTGGATGGGCTCAACTGCGGAGTGAAGAGAACAGAGGAAAGAATCAGTAAGTGAGAAGGCAAAACCGTGGAAATCACACAGCAGAGCCTCGGGGGCCTCAGGGGCTGTAACAAAACACCTGACACTCCTGTCATCGGCATCTGGGAACGTGAGGACAAGAGGACAGGGTCGAAAAGCACTTGAAGAAATAATGGCGGGAAATTTCCCAGATTTGGAGAAGCCATAACGTACAGATTCAAGAAGCAAAGTAAATTCCAAAGAGGATGAACCCAAAGAAACCCACACCAAGACACATCGTAGCCAAACTTCTGGAAACTTAAGAAAAAGAAACAGATCCTAAAGCACTGGGAGAGACATGACTTTTCACCCATAAGGGAAAACCAGTCCAAATGACATCAGATTCCTTGTCAGAAAGCGCGGTGGCCAGAGGCAATGGCATGGTTTTCAAGTGCAAGTGCTGACAGAAAATAACTGGCCACCCAGAATCCTATGTCCAGTGGAAATGACGTTCGGGAATTTACTATAGGTAGATCAGAATGGAATTTCACAAGATTGCCATGCAACCCACAGGAAGACAAGAATAAAAACAAAACACAGAACAAACAAAACAAAACAGTAAATACGTAAGATCGCAGACTCAAGCTTTAACAGATCAGTAATCACACTAGATGTAAATGGTCCAACTACACCAAGCAAAAAGCAGAGGTCAGCAAATTAAAAAGCATGACCCAGCTACGCCACCTACAAGAAGTTCATTTCAAATATAATGATATGGACAGGGTTCAAGGTTAGAAATGAGGAAGCAACCAGAGGGAAGCAGGAATAGCGATATTAATATCAGAAGGTATACTTCAGAGGAAAGAAAATTTCCAGAGACAAAGAGGGGTAGTATTAGAGGGTCAACCTCCCAAAGAGACAAAGCAATTCTAACTGTGTATCCGCCAAACAGCAGAGTCGCAAATTTATGAAGCAAAGACCGGTAGAACTAAAGGAGATATGAACAGATGCACAGTTACAGTTGGAGACGTTAGTGCCCCTGTCGGTGATGATCGATGGAACAACTGGACAGAAAATCATAACTCACCAATGCCATCAAATAACAGAATTGACATTTATAGAATATTTCACACGACACATTTACAGAATACACATTTTTTTTTCAATTGCTCACAGGACGTATACTAAGATAGGCCATATCCTGAGTACATAAAATAAACAACAAATGAAAGTAATTGAAATCATACAAAGTTTGTTCTCAGATCACAGTGGAATCAAACTAGAAATACACAATGTAACAGGAAAATACCCAAACATGTAGAATCTAAACAGCACACTTCTAAATAATCCATGCATCAAATAAGTTTCCAGGGAAATACAAATACTGAGCTAAGTGAAAATGCAATAAAAATTTGTGAACACAGCTAACACAGGACTGAGGGACTTCTAAGCAGTGAATGCGTGTATCAGGAAAGAGGGGAAGTCTCCAGTCAGTCGTCCACGTTCCCATCTCCAGCACCTACAAACAGGAGCAAAATAAACCCAGAGCCAGCAGAGGGAAGGAAATGAGAGCACGGGAGAGCAGAAATCAGCAAAGCGGAAACAAAACAGCGGTAAGAAAACTCAGTTAAATGAAGAGCTGGTTCTTTGAAAAGAAGGGTAAAATTGCCATCCTCTGGCAAAGAACCTCTTGACAAAGAAACAGAAGACAGAAGTTGCGAATATCAGGAATGAACGGAGACACCACTGCAGACGCCGCCAACACCGACAGGCTGGTGAGGCGGCACCGCGAACAGCGCTGTGCACACATGTGTGACTGGTTCGGTGAAATGGGTCAGCTCCTTGAAAAACACGCACCACCACAGCTCGACATGAAACGCATCATTTGAATAGCCCTATAACTATTGAGGAAATTGAACTTGTCATTTCAAAACACCCAAAAATGAAATCACTAGAGAATTCTATTAAACATTTAAAGAAGAGTTTATCTCAATTCTGCACAATCTCTTAAAAATATAGAAGAGGGAACTTCCCAACTCATTTCGTGAAGTCAGTATTACCCTGATACCACAAACCAGATTAAAGGCCATATAAAAATAATCATAAAAACCAATACCCCTCGTGAATACAGGTAGAAAAGTTCCTTAACAAAATATTAGCACATGTAATTTGGCAATATATAAGAATAACTATAATGATGAAGTGGGTTTGTTCCAGAGATGCAAGGCTGTTTAATATTTGAAAATCATCAGTGTGATCTACCATATGAACAGGCTAAAGGAGAAGAACCACTTGATTATATCAATCATACAAAAACATTTCATAATTTTTTAAATTTTATTTATTTATTTTTAGAGAGAGGGGAAAGGAGGGAGAAGGAGAGGGAGAGAACCACCAGCGTGCAATAGAAACACCCATCAGTTTTCCCTCACACGCCCCCAGTGGGGACCCAGCCCACAACCCAGCCGTGTGCCCTGACTCAGGATCAAAGCGGCGACCCTTTGGTTTGTGGGACTCCAGCAACAGAGCCGCACCAGCCAGGGTGCACGTCACAGGTTCCATTACGCATGCCTGGACAAAGCTCTCAGAAAAATCAGAATAGAAGGAAATGGATCAGCTTAATAAGCTGCATCTACAAAACCTCTTCAGCCGGCATTATAGTTGATTGAGAAGCACTGCACACTGGTCACCAGGATCGGCACAAGGCAAGGATACCAACCGTCATCGCTGTTATCCCACATAGTAACGGAAGACCTAGTGTATGTACAACTAGGAAAGAAAGGGAAGTAAGGCAAGAAAGGAAAACACAGACAACAGTGTGCTGATGATGGGTGGGGGGGATAGAGGATAAGGGAGGGGTAAATGGTGATGGAAGGAGACCTGACTTGGGGTGGTGAACACACACTACACAAATCAGATGATGCATTTTAGAATTGTACACCTGACTGTATAATTTTATTAGCCAATGTCACCCCACTAAAATCAATAAAAAATGTTTTAAAAAGACGTACAGCTCAGAAAGGAAGAATTAACATCATCCCTATTTGCAGAAATAAGAATATCCCAAGGAATTGACAAAAACTCCTAGAGCTAAGTGAGTTCAGCAAAGGTTGTAGAACACAAGGTAAATATGCAGAAGTGCACTGTATCTCTGTGCTGGCAATGCCTGTGAAGACACCGAAATTAGAAATACAAGGCCATTTATAATTGCTCCAAAAAAAAATGAAGTAGGCGTGAATGTAACTAAAACATGTACAAGATTCGTGTGCTAAAAATGACACGATCCTGATGGGAAAAATCAGAGAAGAGCTGAATATACGGAGACGTGCTGTTCGTGGATTGAAAGACTGAACGTAGCAAAGATACCAATTCTCCTCTTCAGACTTAAACACAGGTTTCATGCAGTTCTCACCAAAATCCCAGAAAGATATTTTTTGTAGACAGAGACAAGTTTATTTTAAAATTTATATGATGCAACAAGGGACCTACAATAGCTGAAACAATTTCAGGGGGAGGACAAGAATAAAGGGGGAGGGACCTCTCCACCCAGTGTCCAAGGCCAGTCAGTACCCTCTGGCCGCAGCGACGGAGACAGCTCGGTGGTGGCAGCACAGACACAGGAACTGGGACAGGGCCACCGGGAATGGGAACCGAGCCACAGGGACGATCCCCGGCGGGGGGGGGGGGGGGGGGGGGTGACTGGGCCAAAGAAGCGAGTCAGGCCCAGGAAGACATCCTTGTCAACCCGCAGTGTGGGGGCGTGTGGGCAAAAATCAACTCAAAAGAATCCTGGACTCAAATGTAAAACTATGAAAAAAAGCAGAGAAAATCTTTAGGATGTAGCACTAAACAAAGAGTTTCTAACCAAACTAAGGACACAACTAAAAATGACTGGGCACTTGCCCCAGAGAAGGCAATCCTCGTGCTCACGCACCAGCCCGCACAGCCACGTCTGCGGCGGAGCAGCTGGTGCGCCGCCCCACCCCTGGGACCGAGGGGGTCGGGGGCGAGGGCAGCGGCCGAGGCGCTCCCTGCACCACGCCCAAAGCTCCCTAGAGTTCTGCTGAGTGAGAAGAGCCAGTCCCAGAGGGTTACACGCCGTCCGACTCCATTTATGTCACGTTGTTGAAATGACAGAGACAACAGATTAGTGGTCGCCAGGGGTTAGGAAAGGGAAACGGGAGGGAAGTGGGCGTGGCCGTAAAGGGCGCGCGAGGGCTCCTGGTGGGAGGCACTCTCTGCTCTGCTCTGAGTGGGGTTGGGGGCGTTGGCGTCCGCACCCCCAGCCGCCAAGCGTCCTGCCCTGAGGTTTTCCAAGTGATCGTTCTTCCGAGGCACCGGGTGGATGGCTCTGCGTTACTTCCTACAACTGCGTGCGAGTCCACAATTATCTCCCAACCACAAGTTCAATTGTAGCGCTCTCGGTGTAGAACTGGTTATCATCATCAACCATAATCACGTAATTTCACTTCATTTTCTGGCTAGGTCTTTATTTGGCTTCTTATGAAAGTGAGAGCCCAGAGAACCACACAGAAAAAGAGAGGTGGAAATCTCTCAGGTGAGTCTGTGTGCGCCCGCGGGAGTGGGAGTGGACTAGGAAAGGGGGTGGGTGCTGGGGGCGGGAGAGACCCCAGACCCCACTCATCTGCCTCCTGGGAGCCCCCAGCCCTTGAGGAGAGAGCGCAGGTCAGGCCATGACCCTGGGTTGAGAGTGGAACTCAAGGGCTAGGTAGAAGAGGCTGGGACCACGACCGCCCCACGGTTGGTGGCTGCCCCTGCGGGCGATCAAATGTATGTCCCCCAGGGCTTTGAACCCCTAGTCCCCATCCTTGTGCTAGAAGTGAGGCACACACCACTTCCTGCTCGTTCAGCCCATGGGCACAGCCGAGTGGTGGGCGGAAGTGACCGACATCGGTGGGCCTGAGCCGAGGACAGGGCAGGGGGCCGCCTGGGGTGGGAGGCCACCTGCTGAGGAGGTCACCGCTGGAGAGAAGAGTAACCAAGGGCTGGGCCCATTTAAATCTTCAGGTCTTCTATTCTGGGGAAGACGTGAGGCTCAGGGAGCTGGAGGAGGAGGCGGAGGAGGAGAGGAAGCCCTGACGCAGCTGGCCCAGAGGTCAGGGGGGAGGCCTGGGTGCCTCGCTGCTTTGCCCACAATGACCCCGTGGCCTGGTGCCGACACGCTGACCACGTGGCTCAGGAGACGTTTCTCCTCCTTTGGTGAGACCTTGATCCTGGCAGGGCCCAGGACCTCCAGACTCGTGGGCCGCCCGTGCCTCCGAGGCCCTGCCTGCAGGACCGTGGTGGCCACACTGCCGAGCAGTCTGTCCATCCTCCACGAGGACCCACTCTCCCCAGGAGACTCCAGCGTAGAGGCCAATGCCACTCTGCCGCCAGGGACCCGAGAGACTGGCATGCTGTGAGAGGGGCCCCACCCTCTACAGAGGGCCTCTCCCCTGCCCCTGGAGATGGACTGGTTTCTGCAGCCCTGGGCACCCCATTTCTGGATCTTTCTGGTGACAGCTGGGACACTGGTCAGCAGGACAGATTTGAGTCATGAGTTGGCAACCTGTACAGCACCTTGTAAACTGTTGAGCTGGTATAAACACATTCACACACCACGAGTCCCCATGTCCACATTGAGTCTCTCACTATGGGCTTCGCCAGCACGCAGCCAGGGAATGCCGGGGCCTTGGGCAGGTGCGGGTGTGGTGGCCGCTTCCACCCCAGGGCCCCCAGGCCATGGTGACTGACAGGGCCTGCTGCTGAGTGAGCGCTCAGCCAACCTGGGATGAGCAGATTCCACAGCCCTGCGCATGGCCAGGTGCCTCTCTGGTTGCAGGTGGGGCACAGGGGGAGTCAGAAGCTGGGTAGGAAGCCTCAGCCCACCAGGAGACTCTGGCCTTGGGGCCCCCACACAGCCCCTTACACACAGAGCCAGGCTCCTGGGCCCGGAAGCAGATAGGCTATGGGGCTGCTGAGCCCTCACCTGGCAGGTGGCCATGTGCCCCAGTCAGGAAGCCCGGGGGTGTGCTGTGCACTGCCATTCCTGGCAGAGAGGCTGAACTGACACAGCCTGGCTGGCTCCCGGCCACATTGGGCCCCACTCAGGACCAGGCTCAGCTACCTGGGCAGCAGGGTGACCCCAGGACCTCAACAAGACTCCCAGAGGGCCAGCAGCCTGGCGGAGGCGAGGGGTGCTGTGTGTAAGGGAGAAATGGGAGCTGCTCTGTGCCCTGCCCACTCCCCCAGCTCCAGCTGAGACCTCAGAGAGAGGCCGAGTCTGCAGGGAATGGGGGGCAGAGCAGGGAATAAATAGGCTTCAGCCATATCTGGCTCCTGACGGGCCCGGGCAAGGCCCTTGGACCAAATCCGAGGGGTCCTGTAGGTCCCTGGAGCTGGCTAGCAACCCCTCCTCATCCCCTCAACCCCGCCCAGCGTGCACACTCTGGGTCTGGCTTTTCCTGGAGCCACGTCAGTGGGGACTGTCTGCCTCCTGGTCACAGTGAGCACAGCCTCTTGGGAGCAGGGTGAGTGGCCCAGAAGGAGTGAGTGGCCTTGCATACGCACGGTGGCAGCTGCAGGGCTGGGGACCTTGGGCTCTGGGAGGCCTGCCCACCACGCAGTCCCCTCCAGAGGGAGCTGTGCCCTACCCCGGCCACAGGAGATGGGACATTCAGAAGGAGGCTCCCAGCCCACACCAAGGGCCCAGGCGTCACAGGTGTCCAGGCTCCATCTTCTTACTCCTGAGTAACTTAGCACCGGGGCCTGTGAAGAGGCCCCAGAAGGCTGAGCTTTGGGGATGGCAGGTGGGGACAGCCGGCCACAGTGCCCTTCCTGCCTCCCGCAATCCCCTTCCCCGGGCGGGGGATCCCAGCTCTCTCTCCGAGGCCAGCCCCCAGGTGCCTCCCACAGTCGTGCTCCCTGCAGCCTCCTCCCAGCTGCGAGGAGCCCCGGAGAGGATGCTGGGGAAGAGGTGCCGGGCCCACGCCTGAAACTCCAGGGCAGCCAGTCCTGTCGGGGCTAACAGAGGGTGTGGGGGCACCGCTGCCCCCGGCCGGCAGTCCCCACGCCAAGGAAACGCCCTTTCCTGTTTCCTGCTGCTGTGGCCTTGCAATGCTCTTCCCATGGCCTAGCATGCTGTTCCCCACTTTGTGGATCTTGCCAGAGCCCCAGCCTCTGGGGAGGGGATCCCGACATGCTCCTGTCAGACCCTGTGGCCGGGCACAGATGGGTGTCAGGGACGGTGGTGAGGGGAGGCCTGGGCTCAGCCCCAGTTTGGGGGAGGGTACGACCAGCTCTGTTGAGGTTCAAGGCTGGGTGACGGGGACTGAGTGCAGTTGTGTCACAGGTTTATGCAAGGAGCCCTGAGCAGGCTGCCCACCTCTCTGAGCAGCCAGGAAGTGCCGGGCCCCAGGGCAGCTGGGAGGAGGGCCTTCCCTCCGAGGACCCGCCCAGCAGCCCCTGGTTGGGGACCCTGGTGCCCTTTCTCTGGTGCAGCCTTGGAGGCCAGAGGGTTGGTGCCCTGCTCTCAGCCACACAGGCGGTTCCTCAGCCACATCTAGGACTTGGGGCCCTTCTCTGCAGAGGCCCTCTGTCCTTCCACCATCCCACCAGGGGCTCCAGCGGGCAGGGCCTACACTTTGGGGCAGGCAAGGGCAGGCAGCACAGGCGGGGCCCCAGACCAACGCCCCTGAGGCCCAGCTCGGTGCCAGCGAACACGAGCCCAGCACACGCCCCAGTGCGAAGCTGCCATTCAGCCACCCAGCTGGTGCTCAGGCCTCAGGGCTGCAGGCTGGCCGGCAGCCCTGCTGCGCCCAGGAGGCCAGGAAAGGGCTGTGGCTGGGCCTCTCCTTGCTGTCTGGCCCTTTTTTCTGAGCGCCCCCCGCACCCGGGAAGGGAACAGGTGGGTGGGGCTGGGAAGACCTCCCCATCTGGGATTTACCTCGGAGGCCTCAGACCTGCCTGGGGTTCAAAATCAATTTGTCCTCACGTGGACGACTAGGGGTCCTCAAGGCCCTGCCCCACATTGCGGCATCCTTGGAGGGCCCCCAAACCCTGCCATCCCCCACACCCTGCAGGTCCCTGTGAAGGCATCTCATCGTGACCAGTGACTTGTCCCCAGAACCCAGCTATAGCCAGGCCTCTGGGAAAGCCTGTCCCTTCTGCACAGAAGCCCTCCAGGTAGGACCCCAGATGACCCCAGGGCAGTCCTCAAAGAGGTGGCCAAAGTTGTCCCCACAACACCACAGACCCTGCCCCTGGCAACTCGGGGACAGACAGCACCAGCGTGGCCCCTGCCCCTCAGGTCTGTCATGTCGCGGTGTCCCACTCTGTTGCAGGACTCGTCCGAGGTCCTCGAGCCCCCCCCCGCCACAGCACTGCCAGCAATGCCCTCCCCAGGCTCGGACTCTCTGCTGATGAGCCCATCAACGTCCAAGAGCCACAGCCACCGGGCCACTCAGCTGGAAGCTCTGTCTGGCCCTAAACGCGGCTCTCTGCCGTGAGTGCCCAGCCCCAGGCCGGCAAATTCCATGAAACCAGTGCTGCTGCCATCCCCCAGGGCCAGGGCCGGGGAGCAGGGAGCCGGATCAGCCGGTCACCGCAGCCCTGCACACGGGCACCACTGCTGAGATGAGGGACCCGTGTCCATGACACGCCGCCGGTGCCGAGCTGTGGGCCCCGTGTATGAGCCTCAGCGTGAGAGGACCAGGAAGGAACGTGCATTTGCATTCACTTGTGTCACGTTCAAAATCTCTTAAAAACTTTGAAGACATTAAAAAACACACAAAAAAACCTAATCATAATAGTGAACGTTTGAGAAATGTGCACTGGGTGGATGGAGAAAGACTTCCTGCTTTTGAATCATGCCATGTATTACCTATTCAAGTTAATGAATTAAAGTTTAACACACATACCTCTCAGGATCCCAGGGCAGAGAAAACCGTGGCCGGCTTCCAGCTGGGGAGGCTTCTCTGGCGTGGGTTACCAGACAGGTCTGCACACTCCGAGTTTCACAGAGTATTGGTTTGGAGCATGCCGGCACCAGCTGGGCTCAGGGTCCTCCAGGTCCCCGACAGCACATGTCATCAGGATGTGTTCCTGCTGTGAGAGGCATGTGCCAGAATGAGGACGTAAATCAGGAAAGATGACGGAAGTCAGAAATCACGGCCTGTGTCACTGGCCAGGAAAAGGCACATCCTGGGGAGAGGAGTGGACAGGGCAGACTGCAGGGAGCAGGAGGCAGGCCCGGGGTCCAGAGGCTGCGGGGGCTGAGCCTGGGGTCCCGACCAGGGTGCCCTGGGGACGAAGCACAGGAGGGGCAGGGAACCAAGGGATGGCTGGATTTGTTATAAGCCCTTCAACACTAGGAATTATTTTCATGCAATTCTCTGACTTTAAAAGTAACCTTTAAAGCCAAATCATAAAATTTCATTCAAGCAACCAACATACAACAAAAAATCTCCATGAATCGCTGTGGGTGGCAGGCTGGGCTCCCACACCCGAGAGGGCCTGTGGCCTCACAGAGGGTCCAGCACCCAGAGTGGCGAGCAGGGCGACAGGCAAGCACAGGGGCCGCTGAAGGCGATGTGCCTCTCAAAAGTGTCTGCTTCCAAAGCAGTGTGAGCCCAGCACAGAGTGGGGTGCTGGGCACGGGAGGGGAGGGACAGGGTCGCGTCTCGGGGCAGTGGCCATGAAGGGTCTGGTCTCTTCAGGTGCCAGGAGCAAAAACCTCGGAGTGGAGGCGGGAGGAGCTCCACTCGCTCCCAGCAAAACAAGCATAAGGGTTGAAAATAACTGAAAAAGAAAAAGCTTCGGGAAACTGTCTTAAGAGCACAGAGTAAATGAAGGAAGTATTAAGAAAATATAGTAAAGCTCAGACTGGATGGCCCACTCTCCCCTTCTTGGCTCTCAGCTCCGCATGACAGAGGCTGTGCCCCAGGCAGGCGCAGCCAAGAACACGGGGCCCCCCTCAGGCCCAGGCGAGGCTCCCTGTCTCCCCCAGAGGAACAGGTGCACGCATGTCTCAGCGCCCCCTGCCTAGCACCTCCGCCCCTTGTGGCCAAAGATAAATCCCGAGTAAGTACCCGACGAGTGGTCGGGACCCCCTTCCTCCACTGGCCCCCACATTCATAGGGTGGAAACGGCCCCAGGTGCTTCAGTCAGAGGACATAGGGGCCCCGGTCGCCCTCGCCCCTCCTCGCTTGCAGGATGAGAACCCACAGTGGTAGAGGCCAGCCAAGAAGAGCAGGCCAAGCTCTGGGAAGGGTCTTGTGACTAAGTGGCAGGTGCAAGATTGAAGGCATGGAAGGCAAAGTAGGTGGCTGATGCATGAAGAGGACTTTGACTTTTACCCTCTAGGTCCTTGGGAGCCATTGAAGAGTCGTGGCTCCTGACAGGGTCACATTCTTTTCCCTGTGGTCAGTCCACCAGCTGGGAAAGAGGGAACCACTGAGGGCAGACAGGCCATCAAGGAAAAGAGGCAGTGAGTAAACAGTTAGGGGCAAAGCTTGCCCAGCTAGATGGGTGAGTGGATGGATGGATGATGGATGGATGATGGGTGATGGATGGGTGGATGATGGATAGGTAGATGAAGGAATGGCTAGATGGGTGGAGGGAAGGT